CTAACAAAAAAATGCACGTGCTACGTTTTCAGCGGTACCACGTGCTGTAACGCAAAGCAGCTGGGGCTATCATTTAAATGAATGGCAACATAACGCACCTAGCACAGGGTGACACATGCTAGATGCGCTGTGTGATAACATGCGTGAATTGCACCATATTGTTCAATTAACGTAGCACTATGGTGTGAATGGAGCCTAAAGTGAGTAAAGGAATAGTTTTTAGGTCTAATACAAACATTTAAAATCCTAAGGAACATGTTTAATAGAGCAAATTTTTCAAATCATTTAAATATAACTGATGCAGCTAATTAAATCAGTAATTAAAAATGAAGTGTTCACATTCCAGGATCCCTAAAATAATGAATGTGCCAAACATTTTGGTGAAAATGAAAAAGAAATCCTGTGTATTGTAATTATTGTTTAAATCAAAGATCAAGATTATAAATAAAATTACTATTCAGTTTCATGTTATATATATATATATTAGGGATGCACCAATTCCAAGTACCGTACTCGGTACAAGTACAAGTACAGAAAAATTTCGAGCTCCAAGACTAGACTAGAGAAAAATTCCAAAGTTAGGAGGCAGCTGTCATTTGTAAGGAGCACACAGAGCTCCTGGGATCACGGCTGGCTCCGTCCAGCTGTCAATTGTGAGGCTTTTGGCCGGCCAATGGCCAGCCGCTCGGGCCGGGTTTGGGTTTCACTTCGGCTCATTAAGACTGAAGCATATGCTTTCGGATCGACTGAGCTGCTCGGCCAGCTTCAGGAGCTGTACGGGCTATAGTGAATAGCCCATACAGCAGCCCTTCGGTTCTACTGAACCGAAGGGCTCAGGTGGCCGAAGCTAGCCGAAGGATCAGCCGGAGCTACAGCTGATCCTTCGGCTAGCTTTGTGAATAACCCCCACAATCTCCTTTACATCAACTATCAACTATCAGGGGCGTAACTAGAAATCTAAACTTAAAATGACACAGCAGTCATAATGAGGACAGCATGGATCTGTATACAGCACAGTGTACAGAATGAGGCAATGTGAAATGTAAAATGTACAATACAACAAGGTTAGAGGGGGGTGTAGAATGGAGAATGTGCAGCTTGGCATATGAAACGAGGTTTGGCGCTGTAGAGAATGTAGAGCATTGTATACAGAAGGAGGAGGTGTTGAATAGAGAATGTACAGTAGCACATATGGAATGAGGGGATGCAGATATGGAATGTTCAACCTTTTGTATGGAATAAAGGGGTGCAGAATAGGTAATGTACAGCATGGCATACAAAATAAGGCAAAATAATTCAAAGAGAATGTAAAGCAGAGTAAGACTGAGCCCATCTTAGACCTCCATTAGCAAGTTAGGGGTTGGAATGGTCAGGAATGTACCATGTACATTTTGTTTTGTTCTAATTGAATATTCTTATGAACTTTGTTAAATTCCGACATTCGGATGCAGCCGGATTTCCGAATTCAAACACGTTCAAATGCAAAAGAATCCGAATGTACGTTTAACGAAAATTCAGATCCGTCCAAATTTTGTTAAAATGAAACCAAATCGGACGTGTGACTGTCCTCTGGCCAATCAGATTTTTTGGGGGGACTGTTGGGGGTTGCATTACAGGCACAGTAATGTGACTTCCCGTTGTGGAGTGTAGAGAGTACATAAGAGCAGTAGAGAGTACATAAGAGCAGTAGAGAGTACATAAGAGCAGCCCACGGTGCCAGAACTAAAATGACCAAACACACTGGGCCATCTGTCCCTATCCAGACCATCATCAGTACAGGACCAACACAGGATTTGACTGCTCACCTGAACATTTGTAAACACAGAAGCCGACAGTGGAAATCTTCTTACTTTCTCTACTGCTGTGACAGATGACATCTCTTGCAGAGTGTGGCAAAGGAAGCTAGTAGTGCACTTTATATCCAATCAGGCAAATCCTTGTACTACATATATGTTCATAGCCCTCAAGGAGCTTTAGTACGTACTCCCGTTTGGTCACTGTGGGGGAAAATGTAGGTGGATTGGGGTAGAACTTAGTTTGTATTTTTATTATTTTCATTATTTTGTAATATGAAATATTGTATATGAACATTAGGCAGGTGTAAGTATAGCCCCACAAATCTGTGACCTGCAACTTTAATCATTTGCATAGCATTCCTGCTACTAGATGGGGTTGAGGAGCATAGGAAATTCCTAAGCACCTCGGCTGCATCTAGTGGAGGGAATGCTGTGCGAATGTTTTTCGCCCATCATATGACTAGACTGATGATTATAAATGATTCCCCAAAAGGGTATGTAAACCCTAACAATGAATTCTTATTTTGGTATCTTTTGTCTGTTAGTATACCCATAAAAGTGTTTTGATATACCTGTCTGATAAGTGCAATAAAACATCAGTTGATCCTGCCATAAATCATGTCAGTTGATAATTTCCTGTGCTCTCTGCCTGTGATGCATTCTTATCAGTTAAATTGTCCCCAGCTATCTTTGAGGACCACTGAACTCCTTCCTTCTATTTTATGGAGAAAAGGAGAAGTGGATGTTATTGTTGTCCTGTCCTAGAGTGACAATGCTGCTTCTCCATAGATTCATAGATATACAGTGCTGCAAATGAGAGCTGTCACCCTAGGACAGAAGGTGTGTTGTTGACAGGATAGAAAAATAAAGGAAAAAGAGCCTAAAAAATGATGCATCTTCGGACTGATAAGATATAATATTTTTGTTCTTGGGTTTAGATACGCTTTAACATGACTCCTAAAATTAACCCATTATAATTAACCTAACCCTTACACTTAACTCATAATATATTCCTAATCATATTCCTTAGCTTATAAATTAAAATCAAACTTTACAATTAAAGTAGAGTTTAATAGAAGCATGTGTGAAGAAAAAGGTGACAGAAATATTTGTCTTGATGAACTTGTTGTCAACCATACTGTAATTGGAGTTAAAAGCTGTGTTTTTCCTACCTACAGGAAAAGCTAACTCTATGTGCACCTGCAGGTGTATTCCGTAAGAAAGAGAATAGAACAGCAAAATACAAAAACCAATCAACAATTGTTTCTTAATTGATCTGTAATTTGAAATGTAATTGATTGCTGCAGTTAGCAGGTTGTTCTTTGCTATGCTTCATGGACTAAGAGGGGTCATGCATAATGCAGGTAAATTAAAACAGAAATTGTATAGTGATTTTGTAAATATTTCCTTGCTTTCTTTATTATGGGGAGGACCAAAAACATTTAAAATATCAAATACAGCATATGAAATTTAAATTGCATATCAATTTTACATTGTCATCTCTTCATCCAGCAGGTGGAGTGTCAGCCTCCCTTTCACATGGTTTTCTCTGTCCCCTTTGCTCTTTTTTTATGAAAAGCATTTTGTTTTTGTACATTTTAAGTAGAAATTCACTTATACAAGTCAGAGTGAACCATCGTTTATCTAACATGCAGACAAATAACACTGTTACTGCAAGCAACCCATGTGGCATCAACAGGCAATGCTCACTGGAGGCCCCAGCCTTCTCTAGGTTTGCATATATTCCACATAAAAAATGAGGCTCCTGGCCTTATGATTAAGCAACTGCTGATGTAAAATTCATCAAGGCATGTATCTGTGCTTTGATTTCAAATACATTTCAGAACACATACACATATATACAGTATATAATATACTGTATATATAAAAAGTCCAATGGTAGTCACCGCACTCAGATAATAGTAAAACCTGCCCGGGAGCACTCAAAACAAGTATTACAAACAGTCCAGTTTAAGAGCCACTCACAAGTCTTGTATTGAAGCAACAAAAATAGATTTAATGGTCAACGTTTGGACAAGGCACTGCTTGTCTTTCTCAAGACAGTCTTGTGTATAATACTTTATGGGCACTAGACCAGTGGTTCTCAACCCGTGTAACCTCGGGACCCACGTTTGTCCTCGGTCATTAAGTTGCGACCCAAGTTGCACTGCAATGGAACGCACAACATTAGGGTACTGCATGTTTTGGTGCGGGCATACGAACTGTGGGTGGGAGATGCGTTTGGGGTACTATACAAATGAATAGTCACTCTGGTCCAGGCACCTCTATAGAACACATGAGGGAGCTGTAGGGAATGCACGTATGGATGGAGCTCCCTCACGGCCATAGCCCCATCCAATCCCACCTCAAGCTGAAACTCTGCGCCGGGAAGCATATTTTGAATGGCCGCCTGGCACGAGAACTGACAGTGCTGCGCTAGAGGGAGGCTGAGGAGCTTCTCGCCTAGAAAAGTGGAAGGTATGCGGCGACCCACTGAACACGGGGTCACGACCCACCAGTTGAGAACCAAGGCACTAGACAGAGCTGAAAAGCATAGGAAATAGGTATTCATTCCCTATAATCCTTATCTCTATCTAGTAGCCATAATTATTATACAGGATTTATATAGCGTTAACAGTTTGCGCAGTGCTTTACAATATAAGGAAGCCATTACAATTACAATACAGTTCAAGACAAGATGATAAGGCAGGCCCTGCCCGGACGGCTTACAATCTAAGATGTATTATTACAACACTACATTCAAACTGGCAAAAATATATTAAAACATTTGTTTTTCCAATATGCACCCAAAGGGCCAAGGGCCCCGCAAATTGTTTAAAAATAGACCCCTTTCTCTCCATCTCTGCCTCTCTCCCTCTCTCTTTTTTCCCTCCCCTTCCCTTTCTTTCTCTAATTTTTTTTCTCTTTCTATCTCTCTTTCTTTCTGTTTTGTGGAGATTGAAAACCAGTAAGCCTTTTGATAGAAGTTGTTCAGTCACCCCTGAACTGCTTGAGCTGTATTTTGGCATGCTCTGTGATTTACACTAGCAAACAGAGGTAAAGATAATAGCTGAAGTATTTGTCTCCATAGCGATGGAGGGAGGTTCTATCCTTGTCACTCTCTAAACACATCCCAGTACAACGTTGTTAAACAATTCAAGGTTTCTTATCACTTGGAAAGACGCACATTATAAAGCTAACCGAATTAGAACTAAGACAAAATCTGGAGCATAGCTGGTGAAGAAAGAACCTGCCCACAGCAGACCCGGGAAACAGCGTGAGTTCACAAGATACTTGTCCTTAACTGCACCCTGCTGCACCCTGCTGCAGCACAGTACACATTGCATGTCAGCAACTCACCTGAAATTCTACAGAGGGTATTTTTACACTATACCGCACATAAAAACGCAACACAAAGCAATGTGCATATGTGTGTCAACATGCATTTCCATATACAGTGTATATATATATATATATATAATACACACACAGAGACACGGTTCCCAGTATCAATGTAAGAACCATGGACGCCTGGCTTACCAAAGACACATTCACTCACACACACACACAAAACCACTAGTTATTATTTTTCTTACAGTAAAATTAAAGAGACGCTAAATTCAGGAGTTAAGTCTTAAAAATGTATTCAGGTTAGAGATGTTCAGATGCCAAGTACTGTACTTGGTACAAGTACAAGTGCAGATATTTTTCCAGACTAGACTAAAGAGAAACTCAAAAGTTAGGAGGCAGCTGTCATTTTTAAGGAGGCTCCTGGGATTTGTGCATCCCTGTTTTATTGTATGATTTGTTTTATATACTGTATAGATATCTATATTAGGGATGCATCAATACAATTATTTTCCAGACCAAATACTAGTACTTGTCCGTGTACTCACAATTACAATTACCGATAAAGTTTTGTTTAGTGTCATGTGACAGTTTTCTAAAACAATATAGGCTAATGATTTCAGGGCAGTGGTGGAGCGTCAGGGCCTTGTCACAGCTGCAACTGTGCAACCCTGGTAGTTCTCATGAAAATGCCAAGTATGAGCACTGGTATCTGAACTAGGGTTGCCACCTGTCCAGGATTCACCCGGACAGTTCGGGTTTTGAATGCTGTGTCCGGGTTTCATGTCAGCTGAAACCCGGACACATGATGTCAGGAAGATAGGGGCTCCTGGGCCCCCACTGAAAATAGTCAGTGAATGGGTGACTCTATGTACATATGAATAAGCTATGACTCCTTCTCCCCCAAAAAGTTCCGTGTGTCGCTAGAGTGTTCGGGTTTCGCTGGAAGAAAAGGTGGCAACCCTAATCTGAACTGGTATCTGAACATCCCTAATTCGGGTACCTTAACTATTAACAATAATGTATCTTATTTGTGTATCACTCGGCTGTAGATTCTCAAATCATCTCTGAATTGGTGCTGACACTGTCCTTCCTTCTGGAGGGTGGCTACTTTTGTTCCCCATGGTCCCTGTGTGTGTTGTACAGTAGCCAACGCTCCAAGCTAACCCCCGGGATAGACTATAATCTCATGTTTAATTTACTAATTTGTATGCAGATTATAGTCCCATGGGATCACGGGAGTGAGCTTGGAGTGGTGGCTACTTTATAGACATGTGCGATTCGGTTCGTTCCGAAATTCGTTTTGAACGAATTTTCGGAAATTCGGAGATTCGGATGCATCCGAATTCCGAATTACAGCTAAGACGAATGCAAACGAATCCGAAATTCCCGATTTCCCGAAATTCGTTATTGGACGTTTTTATTTCGGACCCGAAAAACGAAACTAAACTAAACAAATTTTTTTTTTTCCAAAACGAAACTAAACTAAACGAATTTTTTTTTTTTTTTTCAAAACGAAACTAAACTAAACGAATTTTTTGCTGGTGCACATGTCTACTACTTTACAACACACACAGGGACCATTGGGAACAAAAGTAGCCACCCTCCAGAAGGAAGGACAGTGTCAGCCCCAATTCAGAGATGATTTGAGAATCTACAGATGAGTGATACACAAATAAGATACATTTTTGTTAATAGTTAAGGTACTTGAATGCATTTTTAAGATTTAACTCTTGAGTTTAGTGTCACTTTATCCAGGAGCCCCCAAACACGTTCCTGTGTAGCAATTGAAACAAGAAAAGTAATTACTTTGGTGTATTGCTATGCTTGAGATGGCATCTCTTATATTAGGGTAGAAGGCAGGTTGCAGATAGGATGGAGTTAACCTAGGTTGAGGTCACTGGTCAGCTGGTCACTTTTAATATTGAAAGGTCATTATTATAAAGTATAATAAACCATTCATCTGATTTGTATGAGATCAGGATGTGTGGATACCTTATGTTGTTGTTTCATTGCCTGTCAAAAATGCACTCATCGACAGGCTCAGTTTATGTAAATGTTACATAGGCCAGAAACATCCATAATCCTATATACTGTATCTATTGGGCCCCATCCACATTTGTGCAAAGTTAAACAAGGGTCAGGATGGTATAGGCTTCAAGTAAGATAGGCTGACCCAGGATGGTAAATGCTTCAAGGAAGATAGACTGGCCCAGGATGGTAAATGCTTCAAGGAACATAGACTGGCCCAGGATGATAAATGCTTCAAGGAAGGTAGACTGACCCAGGATGGTAAATGCTTCAAGGAAGATAGACTGGCCCAGGATGGTAAATGCTTCAAGGAACATAGACTGGCCCAGGATGATAAATGCTTCAAGGAAGGTAGACTGACCCAGGATGGTAAATGCTTCAAGGAAGATAGACTGGCCCAGGATGGTAAATGCTTCAAGGAACATAGACTGGCCCAGGATGATAAATGCTTCAAGGAAGGTAGACTGACCCAGGATGGTAAATGCTTCAAGGAAGATAGACTGGCCCAGGATGGTAAATGCTTCAAGGAACATAGACTGGCCCAGGATGATAAATGCTTCAAGGAAGGTAGACTGACCCAGGATGGTAAATGCTTCAAGGAAGGCAGGCTTACCCAGCATTGTAAATGCTTCAAGGAAGATAGACTGACCCAGGGTGGTAAATGCTTCAAGGAAGGTAGGCTGACGCAGGATAGTAAAGGCTTCAAGGAAGGTAGGCTGACGCAGGATGGTAAAGGCTTCAAGGAAGGATTGGCTAACCCAGGGTGGTAAAGGTTTCAAGTTTTTATTCTTGAAATACACCCGTGCGCTGTTTGAGGCTGTGCGCGGCTGTATGCTGCTATACGCCGGTACTCACGTAAACAGTCGTATAGCCTACGGGTGTATTCTAAGAACAGAAAATGTTCTATTCCTGGAATACGCAGATACAAGTGATTGTGTCAGTACCAGCGTAGAGTCACGCTCAGCCATTCTTGTCTAGGGGATGGCTGAATGCAGCACCTGGGCTTTAGAGCAGGGGAAATACACCGGAATTTATGTTGCAAGTGCTGAGGTACCCGTGTACAAGATACCTGCTAAAAGTTTTCAGTTTTGAGACATCATAACTACTAGTGATCTGTACAACAGGTTAGCCAGGGTATGGTTATCCCAGAAGTTATACCAGTCCCAAGGGGTATCCCAGGAGATTATTATTATATGCCATTATATGTGGCAGTGTTGGTTCAGTGAGATATGTTACTAAACACTGTGCCTGCTCTGCATCCTGCAAGCTGTGTGTATTATACTCTGAGGTCTTCAGAATTCATGTACAACTTTTTTATTTTAATTTTGTGTGACCTTGCATGTGGAAAATTCACAACATCTGAGGAGCTTTACTCAAGTGTGTGTGTGTGTGTGTGTGAGTGTTTGCGCGCGCAAGCGCCCGTGCACATATAGCAACAGGATGCAACCTGACTGCTCCAATATTATAGGAAGCATTCAAAGAAATTGCAGTACCAAACATGGAGGTTATTTAGTCAAGCACAGTGATCAAAATCAGACAGGGTAAAGGTAAGCCTTGTGTATGGCATCATAACATCAGAGTCATTATAGGAGTATATTTATTCAGTTTGTGTTTCATTGCAGAAGGGGGTGTTATTTTAGTGGTAAGACATATTGGGTTTTTGTTTAGGTTGAGGATAGATACATTTGTGCAGCGATTTGCATTTAACACTAGCTATGTCTTGTGCACTCAAATAGACATAAGCTTACTTGATGTCCCCTGTTACCTCTCCTTTGTTGAAAAAGGAGTAGATAGTAGTAGCTAACCTTCTTCATCCTGGCCTCACTAACTGATCCACTTACCTGCAATAAGGATGTAGGGTGAGAGTTCAGACATTCATACTTTACATATTGCATGCTTGTTCTGCTAAATCGCTAGGTAATGATCAGAAAGCTTGCATTTTTACCTACCAATTTGGCAATGGTGGCTCCATTATTTCTCCACAGGTTTACTTTAAATTTGCCCTAATTATATGCAGTATGACTCAAATTATCAACATGTGAGAGATCATATGACTGAGATTTTATCATAACATTTACTATGTTTTTTTTTTTTATTCTTTATTTTCATAAGATGTATTTGTACATATAAAATCTTAGCAGTACAATACAACCATCATATAGAAAACAAAACAACAATATCATAAAAAGTATCAATAGAAAAATGGTATAGCAACAGTATCGATGTTATAAAAAGGCTGAATGTATAACAACAAAATGCACAACATACATGCACTTTCAAATTTTCCAGCAAAAGGAGAAAGAAGCAGCAGAAGGAAAAGAGAAGAAAGAAAAGAAAGTGGAAGGGGAGTGAGAAGGGATGGGGGTAGGGGGTTGATGGTACCACAGGAGGCCCCCACAGCAGTCAACCTCCATGTTAGCCTCACGGCACTTCAGTACCAGAGCCTGACATCAGAGACTTATATTCAGGAGAGTCAGTGAATGACGTCCAATAGAAACATATGAGATGATATTGTTCCTCACTTTGATGCACAGTGGCAGCGAGGTTCTCCATGAGATTGATCTCCTGCTAGCCCAGGATGAAGTAACAACTTTAAAAAGTGGGGCAAACGACAAAGTGCAAAGTGCAGAATTAACAATCACTTTTCATGACCAATCATTGTCATTGTCATTCTTTGTAGCAGCATAATAACAGCCTGTGTTTGTCCCTAGCAAGGAAGTTTGGATAAACATTTCTTTACAGGGAAATAATTTTTCCCAGAACCCAAGATATCAACTTCAATGACAGTTAGTTACCCATATACAGCATCATACTTAGGATATATACAATATATGAAATAAACTTAAAAGTTGGCATACAAATATATGGCCATCCTAACATGTGTCTATTGCATTCAGT